GGCAAGTACCAAAAATAAAAGTATCGGTATCGGGCGAGTACTGGAAAAAGTGGTATCGGTGCATCCCTAGAAATAATCCTTCACTTTTACATTTTCTCAGTTATTCATTACACTGTGTTGAAATGTTTATTAACAGGGAACAACTGTGTAATTTGTGACCTGTAAAAATGCACTTACAAGGTCCGATATTTTCACCATTTCCAGTTTTTTGTCCCAACTGTTTAAATTCACTTAAGACACGATTCATATCCGATATCTGTATTTACATGAATCCCCAACCAAACTGAATGAATGCATTGTGATCGCTTTGACCCTCGGGTTTTGTATTGCCATTATAAAAATAATTGATATAATTCACATCGGATGATTCTTTGACTTTAATGCATGTGTTTATCCCGCTATACTATGATCACCTGCCAGCATGGATAATCATTGATGCAACTGAAGTTTGCAGTGCAAAACTGGCTGAACTGATTGACTGAAGAGATAAAATAACAGCAGCTTACATTAGTTATCTTATCTATGGGTCGTTAGATCTAGAATTCTAAAGAGAAATAAAGTGCTGCAGTAAGATTGCATTTATTTGAATGAATTCACGAAAGAGGTTGTGTGTGAATTACTTGCGTCTGTGAAGCCTCTCCATATAGTGAAGCTGTGAGTTTTATTTCCTAAAAAACGGCGACATTATCATCTTGTCGCTGAAGAATATAATGTAGCATTTCTTTATAAAATCAGTTCCAGAGCTCCTGAATGTTTCTGCGTGTGCTCAATCACACATTATTAATGCACAGGCCTGTCTGTTTACATTCACTTTATCCGATATCTCGGTTCACATTAATTCCCGCCCAAAATGATTGTCAGTGATCGCTTTACTATGCACAGGTAGACCCTCGGATTCTGAATGGGCATAATTCACGTCGAGTGGCCATTATTTGCCAGCATGGACAACAGCTGTCATGGATGTTTTGCAGCATATAATCTGACTGAACGGATAAAGACCAGAAAATAACGGTAATTTTCATTTGTTATTTTATCTACAGATCGTTAGATGTAGAATTTTGAAATGAAATAATGTAGAGCTGTAAGATTCTATTTATTAGAATGAATCTGAATGAATTAATGAGAGAGATAAAGCACGACCGAATAGCCTAATAGTGAAGCTTATTGTTTAAATTACAAAAACAATAATCATCTCATTGTTGAGAAATTTAATGTTGGTTTAAGTAGCGAAGCTACTATCAATAAAATTCGAACGCATAGCCTACAGCAAGCCGGGTCGCCCTCGGATTGTGAGTTCTGATGGGAATCGGATATTTGTGTTTAGACAAAGGTTGGATGTCCAGATATGGGATATGTATCTGATGTAAAACCACATTTGGAAGTGGCTCAGATCAGATGCGGAAAAATCAGATCTCGTGCGGATTTTTGTGTTTACATTTGTGCAACAAATTCTGATCTGTGTCAGATATGAGGGAAAAAAATCAGATTTTTTGTGCCAGTGTATAATTGAGAGCTATCAATTTTAACATTTATTAGACTTTAAAAAACAACTTCTAATTTACGTGAACAATCTTTACAAACAGACATACATGTTTAGACACAAGTCATCTGTCCATATATTGAATATGCATCCGATTTAAAACCACATTTTAAGTGATGGAAGTGGCTCAAAAAACAAAAAACAAAAAAAAAAATCTGATCTAGTGCGGATTTATGTCTTTCCTAGTGTGCAACGATATCTGATCTGTGTCACATGGGAGTAAAAAATCAGATTTTAAGACACAGCCTCACTAGTCATCCTGCTGAAGCTTTGTCATATGCCAGTGGTTTAGACTGAATCAGACTATCTGGGAGAAGAATAAACATGCAGACTGTCACTGATCTCTATCATTTCACTAATTCTAAATGCCACAGACTCACAGATTCACCCCAGTCAAGCCAATCACTGGTTGCTAGCTTGTTTATGTATCTTACGGAGCTGAAAAAGCTCTTCATCGTTTACACTAGTGCAAGGTCAGTTTTTCTAAACCTCACAAATCTAAAAGATTGGAAGCTCTGAACTGTCGACCCATCTTAAGTTCAGCATTTTTATAAACTGAGGGATATAATTACTTTCTCTTGTAATCTACAGCAGTCACAGCTGCGGTATATAAAGCTAAACTCAGTCTTATCCCTGATATTAGTGCTGTGTGTTCTAGATGGACACACCTTCATATCTTCATTCACACATGAGTCACTGTATATGGGGCAGAAACAGCACTGATGCGTGGTCTTATGTGCACACGTACTTTGCTTTGTGAAGCAGGTGATGGTTTAAAGATCTCTCGAACATCCGGGACACTGTACGGTTTGTTGCGTTTGCGTAGCGTCTGTTTGAGTGTCTCCACGCGTCTCTCCACGGCGGCTGCTTGCGTTCGGGTCAGAGTCGACAGCAGAACGATGCTGTCCTCGCCGTCTGAAGCCGATTCGTCGAACAGCGTCGCAAGCCCCGCCTCCATCAGCCATGCCTCCTCCTGCTCGCCCTCTGCAGAACACAACAGAAGATGATCATATGTCAGATAAGGCCAGACATTTCTGACACAGAGTGACGTACAGCTCTGTCAAACTCAACCACTCTGGCTTTATTGTATTCTCCTCAGAAATGACTTAATGTGTGATTAATAATGACTTATTAATCACACAAGTGACATATGTGACCCTGGAGGGGTCAGTTTAGGATAGGACAATATTTGGCTGAGATACAACTATTTGAAAATCTGGAATCTGAGGGTGCAAAAAATTCAAAATATTGAGAAAATCATCTTTAAAGTTGTCCAAATTAAGTTCTTAGCAATGCATATTACTAATCAAAAATTATGTTTTGATATATTTACGGTAGGAAATGTACAAAATATCTTCATAGAACATGATCTTTACTTAATATCCTAATGATTTTTGGCATAAAAGAAAAATCGATAAGTTTGACCCATACAATGTATTTTTGGCTATTGCTACAAATATACCCCAGCGACTTAAGACTGCTTTTGTGCTGCAGGGTCACATATGCAGTATGTGTCACAATGTGTTATTTTCATCACAGTCGTGGTGAGGAGGAAGGCATTAATCCAGCTCTGACAGGAAACAGAAATATCTTCCTTTTCCGGCAACTTCACAATTTAGACACACACAGAATTTAAGGAAGTCACAGTTTGTTGTTCCCTTAGGGGCAAACAATTCCCGCTGATGTCATGACTGATCTGTGGTTTTTATTGTAGGTTCTTCCTGTAAGTTAAGCCTATTGTTCTTAAACATGGAGGAGTATAAACCGACAGCGCCACATGCAGTGCCTTTAAGAAGTGTTCGGGTTCAAAGCGTAAAAATGTTGAATGTGTTTAACACTGTTTCCTGCTGGTACCATAACACACTTGTGACAAATGGAAATCGAGAAAAAAGTTCACTCTTGTGGTATTAAAAGCACACTCTTCATAAGGCTGCCCAGGTCAAGCAGTGTGGTTGAATTTTCCATTTACACAAAGAAGTGAAGGGTTTATAATTTCAGTCTATCTGCAAACATGCAAGACCTTTCTCTCTTTTCTCTTCTGTTTCCTGTCAGTTTTATGAACTTAAATGCTCAAGTGGGTTTAATACTTTAAGGTATTGTGTTTTAGGGTTAGTCATTTCATTTCATTTATTTACTTATAAAGCACAGATAAACACAACAAGAGTTGACCACTGTGCTGTACAAAAGAGGAAAGAGGAAATAAATATAATACACTAAAACATAAGTTAAAATGAGACTTCAGCATTTTTATAAACTGAGGGATATAATTACTTTCTCTTGTAATCTACAGCAGTCACAGCTGCGGTATATAAAGCTAAACTCAGTCTTATCCCTGATATTAGTGCTGTGTGTTCTAGATGGACACACCTTCATATCTTCATTCACACATGAGTCACTGTATATGGGGCAGAAACAGCACTGATGCGTGGTCTTATGTGCACACGTACTTTGCTTTGTGAAGCAGGTGATGGTTTAAAGATCTCTCGAACATCCGGGACACTGTACGGTTTGTTGCGTTTGCGTAGCGTCTGTTTGAGTGTCTCCACGCGTCTCTCCACGGCGGCTGCTTGCGTTCGGGTCAGAGTCGACAGCAGAACGATGCTGTCCTCGCCGTCTGAAGCCGATTCGTCGAACAGCGTCGCAAGCCCCGCCTCCATCAGCCATGCCTCCTCCTGCTCGCCCTCTGCAGAACACAACAGAAGATGATCATATGTCAGATAAGGCCAGACATTTCTGACACAGAGTGACGTACAGCTCTGTCAAACTCAACCACTCTGGCTTTATTGTATTCTCCTCAGAAATGACTTAATGTGTGATTAATAATGACTTATTAATCACACAAGTGACATATGTGACCCTGGAGGGGTCAGTTTAGGATAGGACAATATTTGGCTGAGATACAACTATTTGAAAATCTGGAATCTGAGGGTGCAAAAAATTCAAAATATTGAGAAAATCATCTTTAAAGTTGTCCAAATTAAGTTCTTAGCAATGCATATTACTAATCAAAAATTATGTTTTGATATATTTACGGTAGGAAATGTACAAAATATCTTCATAGAACATGATCTTTACTTAATATCCTAATGATTTTTGGCATAAAAGAAAAATCGATAAGTTTGACCCATACAATGTATTTTTGGCTATTGCTACAAATATACCCCAGCGACTTAAGACTGCTTTTGTGCTGCAGGGTCACATATGCAGTATGTGTCACAATGTGTTATTTTCATCACAGTCGTGGTGAGGAGGAAGGCATTAATCCAGCTCTGACAGGAAACAGAAATATCTTCCTTTTCCGGCAACTTCACAATTTAGACACACACAGAATTTAAGGAAGTCACAGTTTGTTGTTCCCTTAGGGGCAAACAATTCCCGCTGATGTCATGACTGATCTGTGGTTTTTATTGTAGGTTCTTCCTGTAAGTTAAGCCTATTGTTCTTAAACATGGAGGAGTATAAACCGACAGCGCCACATGCAGTGCCTTTAAGAAGTGTTCGGGTTCAAAGCGTAAAAATGTTGAATGTGTTTAACACTGTTTCCTGCTGGTACCATAACACACTTGTGACAAATGGAAATCGAGAAAAAAGTTCACTCTTGTGGTATTAAAAGCACACTCTTCATAAGGCTGCCCAGGTCAAGCAGTGTGGTTGAATTTTCCATTTACACAAAGAAGTGAAGGGTTTATAATTTCAGTCTATCTGCAAACATGCAAGACCTTTCTCTCTTTTCTCTTCTGTTTCCTGTCAGTTTTATGAACTTAAATGCTCAAGTGGGTTTAATACTTTAAGGTATTGTGTTTTAGGGTTAGTCATTTCATTTCATTTATTTACTTATAAAGCACAGATAAACACAACAAGAGTTGACCACTGTGCTGTACAAAAGAGGAAAGAGGAAATAAATATAATACACTAAAACATAAGTTAAAATGAGACCAAGAATTATAATGAATTAAATGCAAGAATAAAAAGATGAGACTGTAGCTTAGATTTAAAATCATATACAGAAGATGCGGATCTCACAGATAAGGGAAGACTGTTCCATAACCTAGGACCGGCCACCCCAAACGCACGGTCAACTTTCAACTTCAATCTTGATCTTGGGATCGCAAACATCTGGCAGACCTATTCACATTTACAAGATCTGACAAATAAGAAGGTGCCAGACCATTTAAAGACTTAAAAACAAACAACAACATTTTTAATTCAACTCTATAACGCACTGGCAACCAGTTTAAACACATTAAAATCGGAGTAATGTGTTCTCGTTTACGAACCCCTGTTAAAAATCTGGCTGCGGCATTTTTAACCATTTGAAGCCTTGACACAGTGGATTGGGGTAGTCCAATATACAAGGAGTTACAATAGTCCAAACGTGATAAAACAAAAGCATGTATGACTCTTTCAAGATCTTTAAAAGTTAGAAAAGATCTAACTTTTGACAGAAGTTTAAGATGGAAAAAACATGACTTAACTACTGAGTTAAAATGTTGGTCAAACTTAAGGGAGGAATCAAAAAGAACTCCCACATTTTTCACCGTTGGTTTGATATAAGAGTTTAAATGACCACAGTTAAAAGTTGGTTTTCCTTTACCCACAGAGGGTCCAAAGACAATTGCTTCCGTCTTTCCCTCATTTAAATGCAACATTTTTTTTAGACATCCAAGATCTTACATCAGCTAAGCATGCAAGCAATGTTTCTAAACCATTCTTGTCATTGTGTTTTAAAGGTAAATAGATTTGGGTGTCAAAAAAAGTATAAAAATGAAAGGACACTCCATGCTTCCTAAAAATTTAACCTAGTGGAAGCATGTACAGTGAAAACAAGATGGGAGCCAAAATAGAGCCTTGAGGAACACCAGAGGTAAGAGGAGCTACAGATGAAACAGCGCGACCAATGCCTACTGAAAAAGTTCTGTTACTACGATAAGATCTGAACCAGCTCAGGGCACTTCCTTGGATGCCCACACACTTTTCAAGGCATGATAAAAGAATGCCATGATCAACTGTATTGAATGCTGCACTCAAATCTAAAAGCACTAAAATTAGAGTTCCCAGAGTCAGCAAGTAGCAGAATGTCATTTAAGACTCAGTACTATGAGTTTTCCTAAATCCAGACTGGAATTTTTCAAGAGTATTATTTGTTTCCAAAAAAGTCTGTAACTGTAATAACAGAACTCTCTCTAAAATTTTAGCAATAAAAGGTACATTTGAGATTGGCCTAAAATGCGATAAAACAGTTGTATCCAGATTAGGCTTTTTCAACAGAGGTTTCACCATTGCATGTTTACAATAAGCTGGAACAAACCCAGAAATAAGGCTCTTATTTACAATTGCAAGAATCCAGGCCCCAACACTATCAAAAATCAGTTTAAAAAAGTGGGTAGGAACAATATCAAGAGCAGATGTAGTAGGCTTGAGTTTGATGACTGAATCCATTAAACCCTGCATGGTAATCGGCTCAAATTAATTAAAAAACCTAGTAGGAGTCAGAAGATCTGAAGGGTCATCAGTAAAAGAAATAATGGACTGTCTAATTGCTTCTATTTTTTCCACAAAAAATCTCAAAAAGTCTTCACACAAAGTTGAAGACTCTGCAAGACAGATATTGCCTGTTGGACTAAAAACAGAATTCAAGATATTAAACAAAGTCCTAGGACTATTGGTGTTTTTGAAAATTATCGCAGAAAAATAGTTAGACATGGCAACTTTCACAGCTTTTTGATATGCTATTAAAGACTCCCATAAAATTTCATAGGATATTTGGAGTTTATCCTTTTTCCATCTACGTTCTGCTCTTCTGCAGACTTGTCTTAGACTATGAGTATTACTGTTTAGCCATGGTTCAACTTTGTTTTTGTTTTTTCATTCTCATAGGGGCAACGATATCTAAAACATTGGTGCACAAAGAATTAAACATGTTAAGAAGCTCATCCACATTTAACGTATTAGCAAGATAGTCCACAGGGAGCAAATGACAAGCCTCATTGAATGCTATAGAAAAATCGTCCACAGAAGTTGGACCAAATAGGCCAACACGTGACCATTTTGCAGGTCTAATGATTTCAGTAGTATGACAAGAAATATCAAGAGTAAACATAATAGGCTTATGATCTGAAAAACTCAAATCACCAATGTGAGCATCTGAAATAGAAAGGCCATGTGTTAACACCAGATCTAAAATATGGCCACGAGCATGTGTTGGTTCTTTCACCCACTGACAAAAAACACAAGCATCAATGACACTGAGAAATTCTTTGGCTAATACTGTGGAGTCACAACAAACATGAATATTAAAGTCCCCAACAATTAAAATTCTATCAAATTTAGGTGTAATACCCCCTAAAAATTCAGAGAACTCAGCAATAAAGTTTTTATTAATTTTTGGTGGACAATAAACCACTGCCACCACTAATGAGTTCATCGGATCCAATTAAAAAAGTTGAACTTCAAAGATTGTGAAAGTGTCCGTTTCTATTATTCGGCAACAAAAATTGTTTTTAAAAACAGATGCCAGTTCTCCGCCCCGACCAGACAAACGGGGAGAATTAAAAAAGTTATAACTAAGAGTAAGTTCAGAGAAAGGACTACTATCACCAACAGAGAGCCAAGCCTCAGTCACAAATAAAAAGTCTAAATTGCCAGAGTTTATAAAGTCGTTTAAAATAAAGGTCTTGTTTCCCAGCAATCTGGAATTAACTAAAGCCATTTTGATTGAAGATGAGTCACCAACCATTTGTGAGACGGAGAGTGATGCCCGACACAGTGGACGAAGATGATGGTAATCCACCCCACCGCGCTGTAAACGAGGTGAGCGACGCCGAAGAGGCTGCAATGACGAGTCCGCTGACAGATGAACGATCCATTGATAAGGAAATTCCAGAGAACGCCGTGAGATGTAAAGGCCGCGATCCAACTCTGCCCAACAAGCGTCCAGACGAGGTTGACAAACCAGTCGAGAAGCCAGGCAAGATCTTAGCCTAACAGCAATGCCTCCCCGCTTTCCTCTCCTCGCTTTCCTCTCCACCTACGCCGTTTCCTCCAGGAAAAGGCACACGGCGCAACCATACAAGTGCGTTCATCAGGAGAGGTGGAGGTGGTAAGCTGAAGCTCGGACCAGTCACATCCTTATTTGAGCAAAGCGCTATAGTAGATCTAATATTAAGCAGCATCTGACGATCGTATATTAATGGTGTAGCAACATTTTGACTTATTAAAGTCAGAAGATGTATAAGCACAGACAGGCCAAGAAACAAACGAAGTAAGCGGAGAAACAGACGGCATGCCATTGACATTGGCGCCATCTTGAGAGATCAGTCTTCACACTCAGAGCGGTGCTGTGTGTGTGCCAGGATTGTGATCCGGTTTTAATCTTGCTTCACACAGCTTGCTGAACTCAGCAGAAAAAATGTTGAAAATGTACAAGAAACCCATTAGTCATCACCATCTTTTGCAATATAGCATTTTACATGGAGCAACTCCTAATAATGGTGCAAATGACTCACCCCTTGTTTGAAAACATATGTTTGTTGGGTTTAATCCACATAAAGAGAAACAAAAATCTGACTGAATTCAGATGATTTAAAGCATTTAAAACAGAGTTATTATTGTTATCTAAAAATAAAACCATAAAAATATTCGGATACATTTTTCTTTTAATTTTAACATTTATGAGACTTAATAACAATAAAATAATAACTTCTAATTTAAGTGATTTTAAAACAATCTTCACATAAACCCATTATAATAAATATCATATTTAGCTCCCGGTGCCCTTCAGCAAGTAGTAAATCTACAGAAATTGAATAAAGTTATCAAACACTAAATTCTAAATTAAATATACATGAATCCTTAAAGCTACAAATGTGATTGTGACCTTTCTTTTGTTCTTTGATGAACAGTCATCACAGCAGCTGGTTATTGGGTTATTATTAAGAGCTGCTGCTGCTGAACATGATATGGATCTGGGACGCATCATAGTTTCTCATAACTCTTTACCTTTTCTGACCCGCTTCAGCTCTTAAAGTCTCTATAATGAGCTGAGGAGTTGAATCAGGTGTGTGAGATGACGGAGACTTCAGGACAGTTTTGAAAACCACTGAATTTCAGAGACGTCCTTAAATCTGACTCATATATAACAAAGACTTACATGCATGCACAGTTTTAAGGCAGCTTTAATTGCCTTTTTGGTAACTTAGTGACGTAACTGACAACATAATTACGGCATTGCATGCTCATAGTTTCTTTTGCACTTTTATATGAAATTATACAGGCTACTGCACGTGCCGCCAGGACGGGAAAATTGTTTTTTACTGACATATGGCCTGACAGCATCTCATCTGACCGCAGTTCACTGCTGTTCTACTGAAGCTCCTCGACACCTTTTTGCGCTCGTTTGAGTAGCTGTAATGTGGCAGCAATACGTCGCAGTAATACCCCACAGCGGACCAAAAATATAAATATAATGACTGACTCAAGCCCTAAAAAGTGAGCGCACATCTATTACTGTTGCACTCGCGTCTCGCACAAAAGAGCCGCATGTTTAGAAACCCATGCAACTTGCATTAAAATTAATGCAAGTTTAACTTTGGAAAAAACATATATCGAGACTTTATTAAACACACACACATTTATATATACTGTATATACATATATATATTAGTTGCAAAGGTAACATTTATCATTTTTGTATAGTTTAAGTTGAAGTACTAAAATAACTATAAACTAAATAAACTAAAAACTAAAACTTAAAAACTGTACAGACATTTAAAAAGCAAATACAAATATGACAAAAAAACAACAAAATTATCAACTGATCAATTTCATATTATTTTGTCATTTATTAGTTCTCAAATTATTTCTAATTTCGTGAATATTATAGTAATTATACATTTCATTTCAACAATTGTTATGCATTTGTTTTTACCATATATTACAATTCAAATTATTAACAAAAACTATAATAATATATCAATAATACTAAAATAACACTGGTTTACAGCTGCACTTTGGGTTTTGTGTAGATTAATTATCATTTAAATTTAAATGTGATACTCCTCCTCATGTAATTTAGTTTTAATGATGATACAGTTTGTCATAATTCAACATACCTAAACTTAACCTTACTAACTATTAATAAGCAGCTAATTATGAGTTTATTGAGGCAAAGGTCACAGTTAATAGTTAGTTAATAGTAAAAACTGGGCCCCAAACTAAAGTGTGTGTTGACCCTATTTTATAATTAATGGTAATTTTTTAAGGCAGTCTTCAATGAAATAATCCAGAAATGGTTTTATTTTCTGTACAGAGCTGCATCTATCAGGCTTCAGAGTAGATCATTATTTAGTCTTGTAGCTGTAGGGGAAACACAGATAAGGAGCGCTGACTCAAACACAGAGCGACGGGCGCTTACCATCAGCCACCTTCAGCTGCAGGTCCTCCTGCGTCTCTGCGTCTCCGCTGCGCTGGATGATCTCCACCTCTTTGAAGTAGTCCACCATGGCCTGCTCGTCCAGAGAGTCCTGGGAGCTGCAGCGCTGGTACGGTGCCTTACCTGAGCCTTTGCACCGCTGGACATTGTACTGGCCAGTTCTGCGGCTGTGGGAACACAGAGACAGAGACAGATGTGAAATACACCAAATCATCACCTGAAATGCTTTATTCACATCCCAGCAGTCAGCATTCACGTTCAGACCAGCTCTCAAATCCCAGTGCAGCAGTTCAGGCAGACAGACTGATGATCACAGGTCACAGACACAAAGGCCACCCTAACACAGCACTTCTGTGTTTGCACTGGACTCAGTGAGTCATCAGCATCTGATAATAGTTTGGAGGAAATGCATTTTTAATGAGGGAAACTTTGAGATCGTAATGATAGTTTCTGTTGACTGATATTCATCACCGAGAGCTCAGGGCCTCTTTACAATCTGAACGCCAAGATTGCATATGTTTTTTAAAAAAGTTTCTTACAAGACAAATATTACATGGCTCAATATATTTGTTTCATATTTATTATTAAAATCTCAAAATGATTAATTATTCAAACATTTAATTTTAATTTTATTCCATTATTTATTAAAATGTTATTCCACATCCTGTGCAGTGTTGTCCTCCAAACAATGTCCAATGCAAACACATATAGTCAATGTATCTATGCTATTAAGTACCATTACCATTTTTCTTACCATTTTTAAAGTTGAAGTTCAATTAAATCTACATTAAAAATGCTAATAAAGAAAAGCTAAAAACTAAATGTCAACTGATACAAGGCAGGAGAAACACGCATATTCACTCATCTGAACATCGTAATTATATTACATTTATACTCCATTACAATAGTCCCTTTACTGTTACTGCTTCATAAAAAAATACCAGTATTTCTGTTAAATTGAACCAATTTAAACCTAAATGACAGACAAGAAATATTTTGTCAAAATGTATCTTTTAGTCATTTTAATGCACTCTTATTGTATTGCGCTCCGTCTGTCTGATGTGCATGAGCGCGCCGGCACTAGTTCGGTGAAGTTTAACACACGTGTCTTCATGCAAAATGTAAATAACTGCATGAGTTACACACTGAAAAAAGCAGCCGCTCACTCAGTGTCTTCCACTATATCATATGCAATTTGTCCACAGAAATGTGTTATTCACTACTGTAATGTGACCAGCAGATGTTTTCTGTGCACAGAACTCAGATGTGATTAATTGATAATCAAATTAGTTGATTATTATTGATTTAATCAATTATTTGTTGCCGCCCTAACTAAAATAAATAAAACTGTGCTTCAGATTTCACATATGAATAAGTTAAGTGAACTCTTTTAGGGGTACAATTCACTGAAAAATCATGCTGAGAATGTAACAGGCATTAATTGAAGTTAATTGCTTTTTTGGTGCGAGAAACCTTGACTAGCATTATACTGTAAGTAAGTGGACTTTAGGGGGAAATGCTACAAAAGTGCAGAATATTGGAGCCTCTTCTCATTCGATGCATGACACGGCAGGCACGAAGAGTCCCGCTGCTCACCCCACCAGAGGGAACAAGTCAGGAAGAGCGAAAAATAAGCCTCTGTGCTATTAGGACATAAAGATGCTATTGTCAGGCTGGTTGTGCGGGGCAGGACACGCAGAGCTCTCCCATGGTTTAAACAGGCTGCTTTATTCCCTCTCAGGATGAACGTATGAATAAACGCTCAAAGCTCAGCTGCTGGACACGGGAGCTACTGGATGGCATCAAGCAGTTTTTATTTGAGATTTCAGTACAGTGAGGCTGTAAAGAGGGCAGCGGCTCTCACTCGTGTGGGAAGCGGTGAGCGAGCAGAACTGCGCTGCCAGTAACTCTCCAGTTTCTGGGTCACGGCCGCTTTAGGACTGAACCTGTAACTGTGCATTAGCGGCCAGTGGTGGACAAAGTGCACAAGTCAAGTGCTTGAGTAAAAGTACAGATACCCTAATAAAATATTACTCCAGTAAAAGTATTGAGTACTCCTTTTCAATTTTACTTGAGTAAAAGTAAAGTATTTGATTTTTAATGTACTTAAGTATTAAAAGTAAAAAGTACTGATCAATGAATGCTTGTTATTTTAACTTGCATACTTTTATATTTAATAATTTTATACTATATATTTTATATAATCTTACTGCCAAAATACCAATACCAACATATAGTAAGTAAAATGAGGAAAAATAAAATTTGTGTTGACAAACAATATACTGTAAAAAGGGCAAAATGTATAAAATTTTAAGAACGCTATGCAAACATACTAGGTTGAAACAGTTCTTGGCTTATTTGGAGTCAGACTTGTGAATTCACCGAATTGTTAACTGGAGACTCGCTCTGACCGGATCATTTGAATCACTGAGTTGTTTGGAGACTCGCTCTGACCGGTTAATTTGAATCACTGAGTTGTTGTCTGGAGACTCACTCTGAGTGAATCATCTGAATCAGTGAGTTTGGAGACTCGCTCTGACTGGTTCATTTGAATCAGTGAGTTGTTGTCTGGAGACTCGCTCTGACCGGATCATTTGAATCACTGAGTTGTTGTCTGGAGACTCACTCTGACTGAATCATCTGAATCAGTGAGTTTGGAGACTCGCTCTGAGCGGATAATTTGAATCACTGAGTTGTTGTCTGGAGACTCGCTCTGAGCGGATCATTTGAATCACTGAGATGTTGTTTGGAGACTCGCTCTGAGTGGATCATTTGAATCACTGAGATGTTGTCTGGAGACTCGCTCTGATTGGATCATTTGAATCACTGAGTTGTTGTCTGGAGACTCACTCTGACTGAATCATCTGAATCAGTGAGTTTGGAGCCTCGCTCTGACCATTCAAATATCGGCATCGGCCGATAAGTTTTTCTGTTTGGCCGATGCGTTCGTGGCTGGACTTTTATTTTGACTGCGCTGAGAACGGCAGTCTATGGCCTGAACGCAGTGCTCACATGTTCGCTGTCGTCGTTAACAGTTCTGTCCACGTACAGAAGTCTGTCTAATAATCAGATAGAACTGTTAAACAAAGGAATTAATGGAATGTATACAAAAAAAGTATTATAACGATTGCTTTTATATTGTTAGTAACAGAAAGGCAAACATTATAATACTTTCTCGTATGACTAATGAACATCTAATTTCAAAAACCTTGCAAACTTAGTTGAATCCAGCTGTGAGATCTTATGAAGTGTGCATTTGTATCCTGCATGATCATGTGTTCTCTGCATGACGGTCGGTCCGTGTGAATTTAATACGGACAGGAGGAGAGTTCAGCTTCACTGAGGACGCGCGATCGACAAACTTTAAACTCGTGATTTCAAATTATGCTGCACTTCGTGCTTTTGCCCAATGTCATATTCATGTCATTTTCACTGTGTGCTGTATGTAACATGAGAGTTACCTTGGCTTTATTTGAAAAAAAATGTGATTCCCAAAGCACACAAACTTCCCAGAATACTGTGTCCCCTGTTGGTTATAGTGTTTACTTCCTTTTTAATTATATTTTTCTTAAATATTTGTTTATTTGTGAAAAATACTTTGTCATTTAAAGTATAAGCATGTTAATTTTACACATTTCTTTTTTTAATCCATTTTCAAATGATTTTAAATAAAATAAATAAAATTACATCTGCTTTATATCGGCCATCGGCCACCCTGCTTTCCAAGATATCGGCATCGGCTGTCAAAAAACCAATATCGGTCGACCACTAACTTGAATCAGTCGGTGCGTTCCAAACGGGATATATCGCCCTCTGAAGGGCAATCAAAGGGCCCTTCGGAATGAAGGATTACGACGGGTACAACTGATGGACACTTCGGCCCCCCATGATCCTTTGTGCTGATTCTTTCCATGATGACAGCACCTCCGTGTGGGCATGGGATGATGACGCAGAAGGGCACTTCAAGAAACAGTTGTTTGGTCCCCTACAAACAAAGGAACACCCTTCAACCCTTCGAAGCTCTCACTCGGAGGGTAAACCCTTTGAAGGGATTAGGGTATAGGGATGAGTCCTTCCGAATGGAACGCAGGGAGTGAGTTGTTAACTGGAGACTCGCTCTGACTGGATTATTTGAATCTTTCTGTTTTGCTTTGTTTTTTTAAACGCCAAACTTCAAACTCCTCTATGCCGCTTTTTTGATGATTCCTGAAGTTAACTTTTGCCCGTTTGGTGATTAAATAAACTGTTTTAGACCTCCGCTTGAACTGAACGCGACATGTCCGCTGTGTGATACCTGATATACCTGCGAGGTCTCCTAGATGCGGTGCTTTCCCCAGTGTGCGACTGTCATATTTTGTTATTTTGATTAGATAATCATCACGTCTTCTAGAACAGAAGCAATTAAAGTGTGTGAGTATACACACAATATCCATATGCATGTAATTTCAATGCTATGGCCTTTGTGTAGATATTTAAAGATGGATAGTTAGAGTGTGTTCATTCCAACGTCTACTAATGCATTTTTAATTTTGAAGTTGCTTCTGATTAACAGTAAATGTACTATGAAATAACTTTAATGATCAATATATAATTAATATTAATAATATTAGTCATGTACAAAGTATGGTTCAGTACTGTTTTTTTATTTTTTTAAATAAGCACTATTTTAATTTTCGTTCAGTATCCATTTTAAAAACTATCGGTAGATTAATCAGTATCGGCCAGTGTGGTCCAACCTAGCTATCGGCATCGGTAAAATCCACTATCGGTTGACCTCTAGTAATTTTATATGAAAGTATATAGCTAACTGTGCTATGCACTCCTGCCATAACACACTAAAACACAGGCAAATAAACACAAAGAATTCAAAGTCTTCAATTATGATAGTGTTATCATTATATGAGGCACAGCACAGCAAGTGATTCCAGGCATCACTGCATATTTCACTTTCACTTTAGCTCCCCAGTCTGGACGGCATGCTGTCCTAACGCTTATCAACCACACCTCAAGATACTGCTCACAACTGCTTAACCAATAACCAAAAATCAGGAAAAATATTTTGTCAAGGTCACACGATGATCAATCATCACTGTCACTTTGGAGTACTCCGTACTCATGTCTGTTGGGGTCTAGGGATAGGAACAACAGTACAGATCAGAAGTGTTAT